CTTAATTAACTGATAAGTACGTATGCAGTTCCAGAAACATAAAATGCTCTGCAAACGACGAACGAAGGACAGTTAACTCTCAAGCACTCTCGGGCAGGATTGCCCTACCACAACATTACAACCGCCGTACCCCTCGCTAACTGTCGAGGACAATTCATGTTTTAAGTTGGAAACCACACAAGATAGTTTTACGTTTCGTTCTATAAAAACACACACTACAAGTCCCGCTACAGTAACGAGCGGCTTAGATCTCATAGAATTATTGGACTGTACGCACGTCCTACAAATAATAAAAACTCCGACCTTATGAATTGTACACGAGTGTTTTTTTTCTCGCTTTATTTATATCATAAGTCCGTCCCAGTGATTGGAAATATACTTACTCACCAAAATAAACGGACATTCTGAGTCTTGCGGATAGATACATTCCAACACAAGTTTATATTATAACCACCGCATACCGCGCTATTTATTGAGAATGCCAGATATATGTTAACCATGCAAACGAAGCTTTACATTCAGTACGATATGAATAGACACTACTCGTCCCGTGACAGTAAAGAGTATGTGTGTCCTGCAAATAATAGACAATCCTACTCCCTTACGAATAACGGTAATATAAGTTGCTCGCGTTTCATGTAACTTATAACTCCCTCACAATGCCGTTTAACGGGTATCAGTAGATTAGTGTTTATGAATTTTCTATCCAAAATGGATATCACCGAGTCTTACGAATACATATGATTGACAACATAAATCCCGAACGAATGATAGGAATCAATCGATATGTATATGTATGACAATATATGTATATGTAATACAATAAATGGATATGTACAATGTATGTATATTTTCTATAACCTACTCATTGACATGCACCTCGCTCTTCTCCAGACGTAGCAGGTGCAGTGACTTCGTAAGCGTTGCTATGACGACACGATGTATTCAGACAATCAACAACGATACGCTAGTCAAGCTGACATCATACTCAACCGGGCGCTCTACACTCATGGCAAACGTCAGCAATCAACGGCAGTCTGTACAGTTTCATTCCGTTTATTGTTTGCGTCCTTGCGCATTCGACTGCACACCTGTAGACGTGTCCATACTAATACTCGCTCTGAGCACCCTCACGAGCGTTTGGCCCCACCCCCGCCCCCGGCAGCAGCAGCAGTACCTTCCGCGGCAGCCTCGCCTCCCGCCGACGCAGGCGCTGTGACCAGATTAAATATCACTATAGCTGGTATGATATACATCCAATACTTCTGGAAAAAGCTCTCTGTGGGTACAGGCTCTCCGTCTGGGCCGGTGGCGGCGACAGGCTTGCCCTTGTGAGCCCGGCCTTCCTCATCGTACTCGATGTGCGGCGCTTCGGGGTTCGAGAATTCGGCTGTGGGGATGCTGTGGAGAGAGTTGAGGGTGAGTCGACCGTGGTATGTAAGTGTTAGAAAGAGTAACTCACGAAACAGTCTGATAGTTGTGTGTGACGCATTCTCCGGTCATAAGGCGGGATGGGTGTCTGCCGTGATTGGTGTGGAGATGTCCCATTGGATTCGGGATGGATTTGTATTTGGCCGTAGGCTATAGAGAAATACCAAGGAACCATGATAGACAGTGTAAACAGTGTTCTTGCAAGCTGTACTTCGGCGACAGTAGATAGTACCTGCTCAGGCACGAGCAAACATGAGCAAACAAGAACATACATGAACATACATGAACATACATAAGAATACATGAGCATACATGAACATACATGAGTATACACGAAAATACATGAGCATACATGAACATATATGAACATACATGAACATACATGCACATACATGAACATACATGCACATACATAACATACATAACATACATAAACATACATGCACATACATGCACATACATGAACATACATAACATACATGCACATACATGAACATACATGAACATACATGAACATACATGAACATGCATGGGCATACATGAACATACATGAGCATACATGAACATATATGAACAAACATACATGAACATACATGCACATACATGAACATACATGAACATACATTAACATACATT